TATCCCTTGTCTGTACCCTCTTCCCTGACTTGGATTGTGAGCCGCCCTGAGTCCCCTTTGGAGAAAAGGGTGGTATATAAATGCAATAAATTCCAATTCCAATTTTCCTTCACCCTGTAAGAAGGTAATATTGAAGGGAAAAGACTAGGAGTTTTCCCATCTCCCTTACCTTGTAGGAAGAGTAGACATCCTTAGGGAGAGGTTGTCTTGTAGATAACCAGGCCCTATGTCATATAGCCAGCTACAACAATCCATTTAGCGACCCAAGTTACAATGGCACTGAAAAAAGTGACTTGTAACCATTTTCACACTTATGACCGTTGCAGCATCCCCATGGACGTGTGATCAAAATGCCGATGCTTCGCAATATCTATGACAGCTGCAGTGTCCTGGTATGATCACTTTTTGCAACTTTTTATCAAGCAAGTCAATGGGGAAGCCAGATTCACTTAACTGTGTTACTAACAACAACTGCAGTTTATTCACTTAACTGTGGCAAGAAAAATTGTAAAGGGTTAAAATTCAATTAACAATAGTCTCGCTTATCAGAATAAATTTTGGGCTCAGTTGTGGTTGTAAATTGAGGATTACCTATATAAAGGTAATATCCAGCACCTTGAATTACACCTGGAAGGAATCGGGGAGTGAACACAGTTTGTGCAGCAGGGATATTATACAGCAGGGGTCCCCAGCCTCCAATCCGTGGATTGAGGCAAGCATGCAAAGCTTCATTTGTGTATACACGGGATCTAGACTGCATGTGTGAAACTATCCCCCCCGCCCCCTGCCACCAGACTGTGGAGCCAGAAAGATTGGGGACCGCTGTTATACGGGCAAATCTAGGGGCATTTAGCACTGTGTGCAATTTCACATTCTGGACTAGTTGTAACTCCTGGGTGGTCTTCAAAAGTAGCTCCACATAAAGTGCATTGCAGTACAGGTAATCCTCGAGATACAACTGTTTGCTGAATGACCATTTAAAGTTATGACAGATCTCTCCAGGAGTACTTATGACTTGATTATTAAATTCTAACAGCTGCCCCAACAACT